AGAGTTTTGAGAGAACTGTGACTTGCCCAAGGTCACCCGGTAGGCTTCATGTGGAAGAGTGGGGAACCAAACCTAGTTCTCTTGATTAGAGTCCACCACTCTTAACCACTATACCACACTGGCTCTCAGAGGTAGAACACAGCCCAACTATGGAGAAATAATGGATCTCTGGAGGATCTCATGATGTACGACGAGACCACCATATCGCTGGAACATCACATGCCTTCATCTGCCAGAATCGGTGGGCGCATATTGCCAATAAATTGATAAACCGAGAGTTGATTACAGAAACACCTCTTTCAGCTTGAACAGATAAGCAATGCTCAGGTGTAGCAGCCATCAAACAATACAAACAAACTCCGTTCAGAGGCACACCTCAACCTGAGAATGTTTTGGTCTAGTTCAGATGTGTGCATCTCTGACTTTTTGACATGCATTAAGTGAGTGAGCCCACAGATACCACAGAGAGCTTCACTTCAAACACATCTCAAATCTTGACCAAACCAGTTAGCACGTTTAGCTACAACGTCACCAAGCGTTCCTCCATACAGCAATGAGAAATCAAGTGATACACTTCCAAGGGTAACATTCCCCAAAGACCGGTTCTCACACGTATGATTCCCTACAGCTTCTGAAATCACTTTTTAAAACCTTATTTAGATACCCCACATCTCCACTGGTTGCACAAAATTTCACTCCCAAACACACACTTTCTGCATGTCAGAATCCAGACTGTGCCAATACAAATACCAAAAACCAGAACAAGGCAGTAAGACAGAAAAATATTGTTGAATGATGGACTGCTGCAGCAGGTACACACGAGGATATCGGTACCTGTTGCGTGCAACCAAAACATCCACGCACATTCAACCATGCTCTCTTCAGTTGCCAAGCCAGCAAACTGTACTATGATCGCTTTAGGATATAAATACAGAACTTCTGTTTCCTAAGGTCAGGTCAAGACCTGAAGGAGAAAATCCAATGGAATACTCTTCAAACAATCAACATAAGGGTGCAACTTGATAGGGAAGTTCTCCCATACAACTGTAAAAAAATGATCAAGATTTTCATAGGGATAATTCTCTTGCACAACTCCGACTAATTTCAATATGTCTGATGTAGGGATACTTTCTGGTGGATTGTACCCCAAAGATCAAATCTGTTTCCCAAGTGTGCACCCTTAACGCTCCTCAAAACTCCTGTCCGATATACTGGCTGACTTATAGTAGGGTCGTCACAGTCTCTACCAGAGTGAGGAACTCTGCTATATCATAGCTACAATTTGCAGCTTAGCAGGCAATTTCACACCTCTTTTGGGGAGGAGCTTTGTAGTGCGTGCCAAAGTATTCACAGAAAAGCTTCAAGACTGTGGCACAGCAAACCTCAAAATGGTACCCATGGGTACCATACTGCCCATCAATGTATTTCCTGGTACCCACGTATCTAAAATCTGAAGGGTGACGGTATTTTGGATGCCTATCTACCATCTGACTGCAAACCAAGCTTGTCTCAGATAGCTGTGTACCCATGGCTGCGCCTTAGACACAGAATTCCTTATTCTCTGCACTTGACAATCTCAAGGCGTGGCCATGAAGGCACAAAACTGCCCCATTCTTTACAAACCGAAAACAAATGGCATCTTTTCCTCAAAGCGAAGAGCCAATCCACAGCAGCCATTTTGTGATTAGCCCTGCTGCCCGCCATGGCAGCCATTTTGTGATGGCACCTGCCATCCCCGCCCCCCCATTCCAAAGTGCCCACTAGGGACAACGTCAACACATAACTTGCTTCATTTATCACTTTGGTTGTGTGAACTTTGTGTGATCTTCCAAGTGATGTTAACAGAGTGTTTGGAAAACTTTGACTCTCTTGTGAGGCCACACTACATAAGATGATTTGCCCCATATCCAAATCACTGGATTTCTGTTTGTCGCAGAATATTTGGCCATTTGGGCATGCAGTGAACTATGTGATCATTTCACTGTAGATTCAAAGCTCACTGCAGGGACAGAAATCTGTACCACAAAGGATGTGTAAATTGGCTCTCTCTAGTTCCAGGACAGGATTTTCAATCCCACAGAGACTTATTCCAGAGGGGAAAATAAAAATAAAACCAGGGTGGACAATTTGGCAACAAAGTGGAGGCTTCTACACATGCTAGACCTCACAAAGATCTATACTATCCACATTCTTCTGTCACTTATCATACACACATCTGCTTCAATGTTCCTTTGATTCTTGGACATCAATTTATGTTTTTGTGAGAATAAGTCTCACAGCTATAACTGAATCAAACTGTCCAATGTAGAAATCTGGTTTAAAACCGGCTTCCACACCAGATGCAGGAAGGGCCATTCATCTGGAAAAATGAATACCTTTGGGTTTCGCTCTCGCAATCCTGCATGCGTATTAGAATGCCCGTTTCAGACACAAATTGGCAATGAATGCTGGGAGAAACCCCACCCTTTCTGCCACTAGTTCTGCGTATCGATGCGTGGTTTAAGGAGTCATTGAATCGTTCATATGCCTATTATAGGCTGTGAATACAATGGAACATATTAATTCATGGGGAATCTCCCATATCTCAGTAGATTAGGAAATGGACCCCTTTAGGGGAATTATTCTTACAAATGTTTGTACCGATATCAGGTTTATCTGGCCTCCTTCCTTCCTTTGGCTGAGCAGGAGAGATTGCTCTGAATTACAAAAGTGGTTAAATATATGAGATATAATAAATAGTGAACAAGCCATACCCAAGACTCCTACAGGCACACGCCCCGTTTCACGACTACCAGTCACAATCTTTGACACAATATAGTCTCCAGTGTCGTTCAGCATCAGATTCCCGATGCGCAGGGAACAGCCGGGGCCTCCAGTCTCCCGCCCAGTGAAGCCTGGACCGTTCTGCTGATCAGGAGGTGATGATGGAACATACGTAAAGATCCGACTTGGTTCAGCTTGTTCTCCTCGATACCAGTCACATGCAATAAAGGTCGGTTTTCCTTCTGGAGTCAGAGTGACGTCCTGTCCTTCCAATGGCTTTGCTGGTTCCACCGTAACAGGAATCTCCTGGGCCTGGGTGAGCCGGAAGCAAGAACTCAGGATGGTGGCTGAGTGAGAGAGGGGGAAAAGAGAGAGAAAGAAAGAAGCTTTGACTAGGCAACAACAACAGAGTCATCCAGACTTGGGATTGTTCTTTTGGGAAGACCTTGTGCGTATGTTAAGTGCCATCAAGCCAATTCCAACTACAGTTGCCAACCTCTTGGTGGGCCCTGGAGGTCTCCCGCTAGCTATTACAACTGATCTCCAGATAATAGAGGTCAGTTCCCGAGCAGAAAATGGCTGCTTTGGAGGGGAGACCAGCTGAGGTCCCTCCTCAAACCCCACGTTTCCCAGATTTCACCCCCCCCCCAAATCTCCAGGTATTTCCCAGCCCAGAGCTGGCAACCCGACTCCTGACTTATGGTGACCTCTTCCATTAACAGCCATGCTCAGGTCTTGCAAGTGGAGGGTCTTTGTGGCTTCCTTGACAGAGACAATCCGTCTTCTATTGGGCCTTCCTCTTTTTCCTGCTTCCACTTTTCCTAGCATGACTGTCCTTTCCAGCGACTCTTGTCTTCTCATTATGTGACCAAAGCATTAAAGCGTCTGTTTAGACATTTTAGTTCCTGGGGAGAAATCAGGCTTGAAGAAGATCAATAAGCCATTCTACGGAGAGGCTGTGAATGTGAAGTTAGGCAGATCGTGAGAGGGAGGGCAGGCAGGGTTGCCTCAGTGCTTAGTTCTCATGGCCCTTTCTTACACGCCCAGGGAAATGCTGATCTGACACTTTGGGGTCAGGAAGCAATGTTTCTCCAGGCCAGTTTGGCCGGAGATCCTGGAGGTTTCTTGTCATCTTCTGGGTGTGGAACAGGGGTCACTGGGGGTGTACTAGTGAATCTCCTGCATTGTGCAGGGGGTTGATTCTATGATTCTAAAGATAGCTATTCATCTTCTTTGCCGGTCATAAGAAAACCGAAGCTGCAGAGTTGCAGACAAACATTGCAAACATATAACAGGACTTGACCATGAACCTGTCTTCTCCTGGGGCTTGCATTCTCCCTCCCTCCCCTTTCACAAAGAGCACAATTCAAGACTTCTGGGTTTTGGAAGTCTTCAAATCTAACTGCAATTTGCTGTGACATCAACATACAGTCACCTGGACAACATTCTGGACCACAATCCAGGTTTCTAACCAGCACCGATCTATATTTAGAATCCTGGTTTGTGGGCAAGAAACCGACTTCCGTATCCAGATTTTAGAGATCACAGCAAACTGCAGACCTCTGAAACCAAGAAGTCCTCGATCACCTCATGATTTCAGCCTGCATGCTTTTAAATTGGCAAATTCTGTGCTGAAATCAGTTTTAAGGCCCCGGTCACACGGCAAGGTTGCTGCGGGAGAGGCAGGGATGGTGGGCGGATTATCCGGGCGCGATCACACCCCAACATCTGGGAAGTGGAGCGCACCGGTGGCTTACTGCCGACAATGCACCTTAAAAAACTAGTACCTCTCCAAGGTACTAGTAAACGTTTGCCACGGGCTGCCTCCAGACACCTGTGGTGTGATCGCGCCAGCGCACAGCATTCCCCTCCGGTCCCTCGTTTACCCGCCGGCACCGAGGGAAGGACCTGTGGTGTGCCGCCGGTGTGTCGGATCGCATAATTCGCATACTCGCGCATCAAACTGCGCCGGGGCAATTACCCACGCCTCCCCCCCCACACAATATTCGGCCTGTGTGACCGGGGCCTTAGTTTTGTTAGCGGAATTATTACTTTTGTGTGCGCTACCTCGTTCGCTGCCTTGAGTCCAAGAAGGTAAGGCGGGAAAGAAATGTTTCAAATAAGTGAATGAATGAAACAAAACACCCCATTCGTGCTGACTGCAATTAAACTGAACAGTTTAAATGCCAGAATTAATCATGAAGACATGGCAATAATAGCAGTAAAGAGAGCCCTCCGTTATAAAACGAGAAGTCCAGCCAACATAGAATCATAGAGCTGGAAGGGACCTCCAGGGTCATCTAGTCCAACCCCCTGCTCAATGCAGGAGACTCACAAATACCCCCCCACCAATGTTCCCTCTAAGCTGTGGAGTCCTGTGAGCAAAAATTCTACTTTGTGAGCTACTGGCATTAAAGTTGTGAGCAAGCGATTAGGCTACTGCATAGATTAGTTTGCTCGGGAACCATCCTTCCTGAGCGAAGACAAAAATGTGTGAGCTGGAGGCTAAAAGACTGTGAGCTAGCTCACACTAACTCAGCTTAGAGGGACCAGTGCCCCCCACACCCCCAGTGACCCCTGCTCCATGCCCAGAAGATGACAAAAAACCTCCAGGATCTCCAGCCAAACCAGCCTGGAGATCCCAGCAAACGTCAATCCCAGCAAACATCAAACTAGGAGGTAAACAAGACCCTTCTGAGGAGGAATTCACAGGGTAAAAAATCCACACTGCTGGAATATTCCAAGTGATTTTCAAATGACAGATATAGTTGTGCCTCTGGAGAATTTGGTCTCACAAAGCAAGAAGACAAGCGGCAGTGGAAAAGACAGTCATGCCAGGAAAAGTCAGAGGGCCGCAGGAAAAGAGGGAGACCCAACAGGAGATGGATCGGCTCCGCCATGGAAGCCACAACCCTTCGTTTGCAAGACCCGAGCAAGGCTGTTAGGAGGATATTCATTCATATAAAGGTAAAGGTTCCCTTGCTCGAAAGCCAGTAGAGTCCGACTCTAGGGTTGCGGTGCTCATCTCCTTTTCAAAGCCGAAGAGCCAGCGCTGTCCGAAGACGTTTCCGTGGTCATGTGGCCGGCATGACTAAACACCAAGGCCGTGCACGGAACGCTGTTCCCTTCCCACCGAAGTGGTACCTATTTGTCTACTTGCAATGTCTTGCTTTCAAACCGCTAGGTTGGCAGGAGCTGGAACTAGAGACGGGAGCTCACTCCGTCACGCGGCACACGGGTCTCGAACTGCTGAACTACCAACCTTCCACAGCCTGCAGTTCAGCGTCTTATCCACTTGAGCCACCGCAGCTCCCCATTCATTCATATAGGGGCGCTCTAAGCCGGAAGTGATTTAACAGCACTCAACACACAGAAAATGCGGTCTCTCAGCTGGGAGATGCAGAAGCAGGAAAGTTTCCCCCCGCAAAATGGAACCAAATCTATAATGGTGTTTGTGCTTCTTCGGCCGTCAAGTCGCAGCCGATTTATGGCAACCCCCTCAAGGAGCTTGTGGGGTAAGAGACATTCAGAGGCAGTTTGCCATTGCTTGCCTCTGCAGGGCAACCCTGAATTTCCTTGGTGCAACCCTGGATTGTCCCCCATCCAAGCACTAACCAGGGCCGACCCTGCTTAGCTTCTGAGATCTGATGACACTGGGCTAGCCTGGGATGTAGCCAGACCCTCCACAGCTGGGTCAGACAGTGGCTCGGACATGTGAGAAGCAGGAACAGCGGTAGAGGAGATCCCATTCTGTGGACAGGATATTGGGCCGCATCTGTCTTTCTGTGGAGGGCATCACGCGTCAGAAAATAAAGCTGGGCTTTTAAAAAACGAATCTGTCCCTGACTCACTCCCCCGCAAAGAGGACAGACGAGTGCATGCAAAACGTGCACTCAATAGGGTCACCAATATATGGAGTTCTCCTGGATTTACACCCCAACTCCAGACCACAGAGTTCCGTTCCCCTACAGAAAATGGCAGAGTTAGAGGTTGGACTCTCTGGCCTCACATCGCAGCCGAGCTCCCTCTGCCGTCCCCAGAGGCTGCCCCCAATCTCCAGGAATTTCCCAAGATGCAGTTGGCAACCCCAGCACTCAAATACATAGCCCTAGAGGTCGATACGGGGGGGGATCGCAGTTCCCCCGGGTGAGGTGCGGGGGGTGGGGCACACGACGAAGCCCCGCCCCCTGCTTCCGTCAGCCCCGCTTCCGGCCCTCATTCAGCCAGGAGGAGGCAGGAGAAGAGGGAGGGTAAGTTGCTTCCTCCCCGCCTCTCCCCACCCCTGCCTGCCTGGGGCCAGGGAGGGCCTTGGCGGGGCTTCCTTGCACTCCCGCCGGCCTTGCAGGTCCACCGCAGGGCCCCTGATGTCAGGGGGTGTGGCATATGCTAATGAGTTATGCTAATGAGTTCCCCTAGCTCTTTTTCTACGAAACGAGCTGTGGAGAGCCCGTTCTCCACAATGCATTGTGGAGAGGGTGCCTTTCCTCTGGACCAATGTTCCCTCTAAGCTGTGGAGTCCTGTGAGCAAAAAATCTACTCTGTGAGCTATACTGACATTAAAGTTGTGAGTGAGAGATTTGGCTGCTGCGTAAATTAGTTTGCTCTGGAGCCATCCCTTCTTGAGCGAAGATAAAAATGCGTGAGCCGGAGGCTAAAAAAATGTGAGCTAGCTTACACTAACTCAGCTTAGAGGGACCCCTGCGACTGTGAATTTTTACGCGCATTCAACTGTACATCCGATTTGCCATCATGTCCTAAACTCTTATTATTATAATAGATGAGTTATGCCTACCTACCCAAGGCAGATGGGAAAGACCCATACCTCCTTTTAATATTATAATTATAGATGCACTTTCTTTACACCACACTTTCCCCCTCGCAGTGGCTGCCGGAAACAACTGGGCCAAAGAAAACATCTCTGAAGAAGAGCTTTTAATCCCAAATTGTCATTTTTTTGAATAAATAAGTTTCTGTGTGGCAGTTTTAGATGGGCCTTCTTCAAAACTGAAGTTCCCTGCAGACATGCTCCTGTGATTCTTAGCATCTTACTTGGCCAAAATGAATTGGGAGGAGCGGGGATTTCAGCTCATCTGCTGGACAGATTTGCCGATAAGTATACAAGTGGTGAAGACGCTGAACTGCAGGCTGTGGAAGGTCAGTAGTTCAGCAGTTCGAGACCCGAGTGTGCCACGTGACGGAGTGAGCTCCCGTCTCTAGTTCCAGCTCCTGCCAACCTAGCAGTTCGAAAGCAAGACATTGCAAGTAGATAAATAGGTACCACTTCTGTGGGAAGGGAACAGCGTTCCGTGCGCCTCGGTGTTTAGTCATGCCGGCCACATGACCTCGGAAACGTCTTCAGACAGCGCTGGCTCTTCGGCTTTGAAACGGAGATGAGCACCACAACCCTAGAGTCGGATTCGACTGGCTTTCGAGCAAGGGAAACCTTTACCTTTACCTATACAAATGTGAGTTCTTCCGGACAGGATTCCTGAATTGTGGTGGGATCCTGAATTAACTCCTTTAGACCACCATCTTTATATATACTGGTGGCTCCAAAGAGGCCGAAGCATCCTCGCCTGGATCAAGACACAGCCTGATAGCCAGGGCTGCCAACCTCCAGGTGGGGGCTGGAGTCCTCCTGGAATTCCACCTGCTCTCCAGACTACAGAGATCAGTTCCAGTGGAGGAAATGGTAGCGGAGACTGTGGCGTCCCACCCCTGTTGAGCTCCCTCCCTCACGAAGAAGAAGAGATTGGATTTATACCCCGCCCTTCACTACCCAAAGGAGTCTCAGAGCGGCTTACCATCTCCTTTCCCTTCCCCTCCCCACAACAGACACCCTGTGAGGTAGGTGGGGCTGAGAGAGCTCTAAAACTCTTCCGAGAACTGCCCTTGAGAGAGCAGCTCTGAGAGAACTTGTGACTGACCCAAGGTCACACCCGCAGCTGCATGTGGAAGAGTGGGGAATCAAGCCCGGTTCTCCCAGATTAGAGTGCGCGCTCTTAACCACCACACCAAGGTGGAGCGTTTGTCTCTCGGAAGCTTACACCCCAGAACTCTCGTTGGTCTCCAAGGTGCTGCTGAACTCGAATCCAGCTCTTTATACCGCAGGCCAACAGGGCTACCCCCTGAGACTTCCTGCTCCAAATTCTGCCGTCTGTAGGCGCCCTTCCTCAAATCTCTAGGAATTTCCCAACTTGGAGTTGGCAACCGAGCCAACAGCCCAAGGGGGCTTGAAGAAGAATCACAGTGCCGTTGGGGATAAATATCTAGAGGCACACCTGTCCTGGGAGAAGGTGACCTTAGTTCCTGGTTCTCCTTTGCCGGATGAAAGGAAGGAGCGAAAGCGTTCCAGCTTGAAAGCCGGAGCCAGTTTGGTGTAGTGGTTAAGTGCGCGGACTCTAATCTGGGAGAACCGGGTTTGATTCCCCACTCCTCCGCTTGCACCTGCTGATGTGACCTTGGGTCAGTCACAAGCTCTGGCACAGCTGTCCTTGAAAAAGAGCAGTTTGTGTCAGAGTTCTCTCAGCCCCACCCACCTCACAGGGTGTCTGTTGTGTGGAGGGGAAGGGAAAGGAGTTTGTAAGCCGCTCTGAGACACCTTTGGGTATAAATCCAATCTCTTCGTCTTCATCATCATCAGCTAAGGGCCAACTCAGGCAGGATCATGGGAGTCGCATGCACAGATTTTTCTCTTCCCCCCTTCTCATGTTTTAAAAGCAGTTTCAGGGGTCCTCTTTCAAACCAGAGCCATGATTCCTGAGTAGGGGGAGAGGTTACCGTTTCGGCCATGACATCTGCTTCATGCAAATACTTCCTCCCTCTTTGCCGGAAGAAGGAAACCATATGGCTACTGCTCCGTTTTCTGCCTTCCAATCGTATTGGGGTGGGCAGACAGGGGGATTGAGGTTAGGGAAATGCCCCTGGAGAAGAGGGTGAAACCGCTTTCCGCCCACATCATACCTTTGCTAGAAGGTCCCCACCCCGCTGCTATTACGCCTTTAAAGACATGCACAAGAAATCTGTTCCTGGGGGTTTCTCCATTCCTTTGCCTCTGGCGTGCCCTCCCTACACCTTTAGACTGACCCAGCCCCCTGACCCGTTTTTTTTAGCTGCCAGGCCAAAAGTTTTCTTTTCATCTTGCATGTGCTGTAGGTTTTTTTTTGGGGGGGGGGCATTTTCCATCTTTTCAAGCTGCTTTTACGATCTCCTTCCAGCCTGTGGCCTGTTTCTCAGGAGTCACTCTAGGCTACGGAATTTTGCTTTATGCCCCTGGCTTGTTCTGCTACTAAATAATTCAATCCGTAAATCAGGGCTCTTCCAACATTCGGACTAGCTTGGTCCAAGGTTATTAGAATATTTTATAAGAATTATTTTCAGCCGCCAAAGAAATACGCAGCCAGAATTGGGTCCGCAGGGTGCACCGAAGTTGATAGCAGCAGGGATTAGTCAGCCCCCCCCCAACCATTACACCCCACCAGCAGTGTTCCCACTAAGCCGAGTTAGTGTGAGCTAGCTCAGTTTTTTAGCCTCCGGCTCACACATTTTTGTCTTCGCTCGGGAAGGACGGCTCCAGAACAAACTGATTTGTGCGGTAGCCAAATCGCTCGCTCACAGCTTTAATGCCAGTCGCTCACAAAGTAGAATTTTTGCTCACAGGGCTCCACAGCTTAGAGGGAGCATTGCCCCCCACGGTCCCCCAAAGCAGAACAGCTCAAACGTTAAGCTTGGAAGCCCAGGGCAGCTCCTAACGAAAAAGCCTGCCTTTGGGTCATTAGAAGGTTTCCTTAGAATATTATTAGAATACTTTCACCCTCCCTATGGCATACACCGTCAGAGGCAGATCCGTACAGGCACGCACAAAGTCATAGCAGTGGTCAGTCCTCTGTAACCATTACGCACCACAGTCCCCCACAAGCAAAAACAGTTCAAGATTCCTACTTAGTAATAGTACTTATTCCCGGGGAGGGGCTTAAGGATTATCCAGAGAACCTGGTTCCCCGAGGCTGAAGACCTGGCTAGGCCCCAAGCTCATCAGATCTCCGAAGGTGAGCAAGGTCAGCCCTGGATATTACTTGGATGGGAGACCGTCAAGGAAGTCCAGGGTTGCTACGCAGAGGAAGGCAACGGCAAACCACCTCTGTCTGTCTCCTCCCGGACCTGCATAGCTCAGGCTAGCCCGATCTCGTCTGATCTCAGAAGCTAAGTAGGATCGGCCATGGTTAGTTCTTACATGAGAGACTACCAAGGCAGTCCAGGGTTGCTATGCAGAGGCAAGCAATGGCAAACCACCTCTGTCTGTCTCCACCCAGACCGCTATCCCGATCTTGTCTGATCTCAGAAGCTAAGCAGGGTCAGCCCTGGTTAGTACTTGGATGGGAGACCACCAAGGAAGTCCAGGGTTGCTACGCAGAGGCAGGCCAAGGCAAACCACCTCTTTCTGTCTCTGCCCCGACCTGGATAGCTCAGGATAGCCCGATCTCATCTGATCTCAGAAGCTAAGCAGGGTCAGCCCTGGTTAGTACTTGGATGGGAGACCACCGAGGAAGTCCAGGGTCGCTACGCAGAGGCAAGCAGTGGCAAACCCCTTCTATCTGTCTCCACCCGGACTGGGATAGCTCAGCAACGGCAAACTACCTCTGTCTGTCTCCACCCAGACCTGGATAGCTCAAGCTAGCCCGATCTCATCTGATCTCAGAAGCTAAGCAGGGTCAGCCCGTTAGTAGTTGGATGGGAGACCTTCAAGGAAGTCCAGGGTTGCTACGCAGAGGAAGGCAACGACAAACCACCCCTGTCCGTCTCCACCCGGACCGGGATAGCTCAAGCGAGCCCAATCTCGTCTGATCTCAGAAGCTAAGCAGGGTCAGCCCTGGTTAGTATTTGGATGGGAGACCAGCAAGGAAGCCCAGGGTCGCTACACAGAGGCAGGACAACGGGCAAACCACCTCTGTCTGTCTCCGCCCCCGATCTCTTCCAATCTCAGAAGCTAAGCAGGCTCAGCCCTGGTTCCTTCTTACATGGGGGACCACCAAAGAAGTCCAGGCAGAGGCAAGCAACGGCCACAACCCCCTCCGTCGGTCTCTGCCCTGAACACCCCACGCGGGGTGGCCACGAGGCAGCCGTGACCTGACGGCGCTTTCCGCCAAAGGCACACCGGGAGGACAGCGAAGCGGACTCCCGTGGGATCCCAGTCCCATTTCCGCCCTGGAAAGCGAAGCCCGACGGGGCGGGGAAGGGTTGCCCTTGCGGGGAAGAGGTCAAACTCCGAAAGGGGCGACCGACGCGGGGAGAACTCATTTGTTATGAGGGCCCGATCTGACATAAATGAGACCTTGTTGGGCCTAACCACGTGTGTCATAAAATGTAATGCCAGGTAGCATGTGAGCAAAAATTCTACTTGGTGAGCTCCCGGCATGAAAGTTGTGAGCGAGCGATTTGGCTGCTGCATAAATTAGTTCGCTCTGGAGCCCTCCTTCCCGAGCCGAGACAAAAATCTGTGAGCCGGAGGCTAAAAAACGGTGAGCTGGCTCACACTCACTCAGCTTAGGGGGAACACTGCTTGGGGGGGTGCCTCTCCCCCACCCTCCCTCCCCTCCCTCCCCGCGCAGGGTCCCGATCCGGCTCACCTGCGAGCAGCGCCGCTTGCCAGGAGCTCAGCCGCCCCGGCGACGCCCAAGGCGGCCCCTCCGCCTGCCTCCCCATCGCGGGGCTGCTGCTCCGTCCGCCCGTCCGCTCGCTAGGGGCCCTCCAGCGCTCCGGCAGCCCGCCCGTCGTCTGTGCTCCGACGGGGTGGGGACTCCGCCTCCTTCTCGGACCCTGCCCCGTCCCCTCCCTCGGGGAGGCCGGCCTGGGTTGGGTTGGTTGGTTGG